GATCTCGGCTCACTACAACCTCTGCCCCCTGAGTTCCAGTGATTCTTCGGCCTCAGCTTCCCAAGTAGCTGGGATTACACGTGCCCATCACCACGCCCAGCTAATTTTTGTATTGTCAGTAGAGACGTGGTTTCACCATGTTGGCCAGACTGGTCTCAAACTGACCTCAGGTGATCTGCCTGCCTTGGCCTCCAAAAGTGCTAGGATTACAGGTGTGAGCCACCACACCTGGCTGCATCCAGCTCTTAAGTGGGAAAGTCAGGATTTACACTTGGGTCTGGCTCTCTCCAAAGCCTGTGTTCTTCCACGTTAAATGGTACTGAAGGCTGGCAAGTGGATGTCCTGCAGCGGCCACTATAGGGAAACCAGCTGGAGAGTTGGTTTGTTGTTCGCAAGGAGTTAAGAACTGGCTGCAGAAGAGGGAGCAGTTATGGGCTGAGGACCGTGTTTCAGAAACCAGGCTTTGGCTTCGCCAAGTTGGAAGGATGGAGGATGCTGGCTTCTGGGTCTTACCCTCTCAATCAAGCTATTCTAGAGCTTTGAAAGAATAACAAAATAAATGCCTGTAATGCTCTGGCCCTACTGAGACTAGGAAGATCACAGGACATTCCTCCAAAGCCTGCCTTGTTTGATTCCTTCAGTAATGCCTGTGATTATGGTTCAAGACTCACCTCAAAAAAGCATCAAAGCAAGGAAAAGACTGAAGTGGAGAATATATGTGTTTTTAAATGCTCATGTGAAGGTCAAGGATTTGTGTGCTTTGTTTTAGGGGAAAATATATTTTTTAAATTTTATTTTCTAAAAATAAAAGGCTGTTAAGCCAGTTATATCCATGTGTTGCACACTGAGGGCCCCTCTCCCCTTGTACAGCAAAGCAGCCAGCCCCGGTAATGATTTAGAGGAGATTAACAAATATGTCAATGTCTATTTTCTGCTTAATTTAAAAGCGGCGTCTATAAAGATTTTTGACTTCTGAACCCTGTTCTCCTGAAAGAAAGAAGGTAAGAATGAGGAGGGGGATAAAGAGTGATTATCCTATCATTGATCGTTTGTCAGGAGCATTTCTTATTCACTGGACTATTGTAAAAAGCTAAGCTCTCGATCAATCCTGTAAGCTCCCTGTACAATTAAATATCTTGAAATGGTTTTCTTTCTTTTCTAGCCAGATTGCAGGGCCTCGGGGTTTTTAGGAAAGCAAGTTGGTGTGTACACGTGTGTGAGTGTGTTTAAGAATATGCTACAGAGAGAAAAGTCATTCTTTTCTAGAATTCTACATTAGGAAATGGCTGGGCGGGAGTAAAAAGGTAGGTGCTCCCATCCTTTCCTATCCAAAATAAAAAGTCCCTATGCAAGTTGGGAGCACTGCCTGAAGCCAGGAGTTCAAGATCAGCCTGGACAACAAAGCAAGACCCTGTCTCTACAAACACACACACACACGCGCGCGTGCGCACCAAGTGTGGTAGCTCACACCTGTAATACCAGAACTTTGGGAGGCCAAGGTGGGAGGATGGCTTGAGCCCAGGGTGCCAGCCTGGACAGCAAAGCGAGACCCTGTCTTTCCTCCCCCATGCCCCCAGAATTAGCCAGGCATGGTGAAGCATGCCTGTAGTCCCAGAGATGCCCTGGCCGCTGAGGGAGGAGGATCGCTGGAGCCTGGGAGTTCAAGGCTGTGGTGAACCATGATTGTGCTGCTGCGCTCCAGCCTAGGTCAGGAGTGTCCAACCTTTTGGCTTCCTTGGGCCACATTGGAAGAATTATTATCATCTTGGGCCACACATAAAATACACTAACACTAATGATAGCCAATAAGCTAGGGAAAAAAATTGTAAAAAAAATCTCATAATGTTTTAAGAAAGCTTACAAATTTGTGTTGGGCCACAGGCTGGACAAGTTTGGCTTAGGTGAAAGAGGGTGACCTTGTCTCTTAAAAAATAAGTCCCCATGAAATCCTAAAAATGCACACTTCTAGTTAAAAATTTTAAAGAGTTAAACAGATGAAATATCACTGATAAAATAAGAAGGGCTAACAGTATGAAGATGTTACTGTGTGCTGGTACTGTTAAAGTACTTTTCATCTCATTTAATCCTTACAACAATCCTAAAAGACAAGGGGAAACTGAGGCACAAAAAAGTAACTCACCCAAGACCACAAAGCTAGGAAATAGTGGAGTTGTGATTTTGGACTAGGTAATCTGGTTTAAGAGCCCATGCTCCTTAAACAAAGCAGTTCAAATTGACTTGAAAGTATCCACAACACAGTGGCCTATCAGGTGTTCCCTGGAGCCAGGATACAATGAAAAGCCACATTTCTCCTCTATGGTATCAAAGGTGAAGAGAGGCTGGACACGGTGGGTCACGCCTGTAATGTCAGTACTTTGAGAGGCCAAGGTGGGAAGGATTGCTTGAGGCCAGGAGTTTGAGACCAGCCCTGGCAACACAGGGAAATTCTCTCTCTATAAATATTTAAAAATTAGCTGAATGTGGTGGTGCATGCCTGTAGTCCTAGCTACTTGGGAGGCTGAGGTAGGAGAATTGCTTGAGCCTGGCAAGTTCGAGGTGTAATGAGCTATGATCATGACACTGAACTCCAGGCTGGCGGACAGAGTGAGAATCTGTCTCTGACCGAAAAAAAAAAAAAGGGAAACTCCCAGAGGAAATAGCTGATTTCTGCAGCAGGAGGTATTTTTTTGCCCAGCCATACCACTTAAATAGGCCAGGAGAAGGCCAGCCCTAGTCTGTGTATGAACAAACTACATCATAAAAGCAGGATTTGGGGTAGGTGACATCTTCAAAGCTTGGAATAAAAATTAGACTCGTAGACTAAAAATTCTCTGCTCAGCCAAAGGCTCTAGGTGACCTTGCAGAAATCTTTTTCCTTTTCTGAGTTGCGTTCCTCATTTATGTAACAACAATCCCAGTCTGGCAAACAGGGAAAATGTTTTATGAAAGAATGTGATATTAAAGGGTTTTAAAAAACATTCTCAACTTTCAAAAAAGTTATACTTGGTGGCAGGTGTCTGTAATCTCAGCTACTTGGGAGGCTGAGGCAGGAGAATCGCTTGAACCTGGGAGGCAGAGGTTGCAGTGAGCCAAGATCGCACCACTGCACTCCAGCCCAGGCGACAGTGCAACAGTGCGAGGCTCCATCTCAAAAACAAAACGAAAACAAAAACAAACAGTTATACTAAGAAGCCTATGTAAATTTAAATCCAATTTTAACGTTGATGGGCCCTTCTTCCTCAAGAAAGCAATTTGCGCTGGGTGTGGTGGCTCACGCCTGTAATCCCAACACTTCAGGAGGCCAGGCAGGCAGATCACCTGAAGTCAGGACTTCAAGACCAGCATGACCAACATGAAGGAACCACGTCTTTCCTAAAAATACAAAATTAGCCGGGCGTGGTGGTGCATGCCTGTAATCCCAGCTCCTCAGGAGGCTGAGGCAGGAGAACCGCTTGAACCCGGGAGGCAGAGGTTGCAGTGAGCTGTGATTGTGCCGCTGCACTCCAGCCTGGGCAACAAGAGCAAAACTCTGTCTGAAAAAAAAGAAAAGAAAAGAAAAGGAAAGAAAGGAAAGAAAGGAAAGGAAGGAAAGAAGGAAGGAAGGGAAAAGAAAGAAACTTGCTTTGATTGGTTCAATACTTCTGATGCTAGAGATAAGAACCAGACCACCCTCCCCAGAGAGCTCCTGAATATCTCAGATATTAAAACACACTCCCATCCCTCAACCTTGAGACTGAAAAATCAGCATTAAAAAGACTGGAATCTGATTAAGATTCAGAAGTACAAACACAAGTAGTTGTTTAAAAGATCTATGTAATCACATTTTCTATGTTGAAAGAAATTTTTCTATAAAGATACTAAGATAGCGTAAAAAAAAAAAATCCTGCAAAACTATTTCTATATCCATAACAGGTGTGCCTTTCTTTACACAAAAGCATTCTTGAAAAACTGCGTAAATCAGATCCTGTTTTAAATGCCTTAAGGGAGCTATTTTATGAGGAACCCTGCAGTGAATCCTTTGGTAAGGCAAATAATCCTTTTGTAATGGGAATAATTTCTCCCAATGTATCTAGCTTTTTTTAAAATCCCATTTTCATATATCTGCTTTTCTTCAAAGGGGGCCATACCTATCTAAATACACCCACATTTGCATATTGATTTTAACAGCAATCCTCTCGGGGGATGTTTAACCCTAAAGTTCCTTGCAACAGTGTTAGTGCTCTACTGTTCATATTTTTAGAAATCATTATATTAATAGAAAACCCAGAGATTTCCAAACAGGAATTAAAAAAAAAAAAACTGCTCCCCGATCAGCCCTGTCCCTGTGTTTCCAGGCAGACATATCCATATAAAAAAGGTCAGGAAACAGCATATAATTCTCTGAATTCTTCTGGTAGAAATATGCCTCTGCAGTCTTCATTATTTTCCTTTCCCAATTTGCTCTCCCTATGTCTGGCAGGTCAGGATACAGGGATCTGGTCATTTGGGACCAAGATACATTCTGATGACAGCTTTCTCTTGGGGAATCCCTTTAACTAAATGCCTGCCAGGTCCCTCTGGCCAAACAGAATTGTGAGTCACTGCTTTCTTAGGGGAAGCAAGCCCAGGTGCTTTTATAAATACAACCAGATTAAAGGATCAAACTAAAATGACCCCTTTCTCTTCTCGGAAAATGTTGTCACTATTGCACTAAACTTCACCAAGTCAAATAGCTTCTGAATCAGTGTGAGGGGTAGGTTTTCAGCCACTGCTAACAGGAGAGGAGGCAAGATCCCATATCTACCTTCGTGATAGAAAGCCTCTCGTTATTTCTCATCAGCCTCCTTACTGCAAAGGACACAGTGGCCGTAGTGTCAGCGAGGACACTCCAAGTTCAACAGGTGAGAGGTGAAAGGCCACTCACTAAGGCATGCGTATCGGAACTTCTTTCTTTCCTAGTCTTAACTTTCCAGGCAAAGACATACTTTCTGCCTCAAACAAGCAACTCTGTCTCTCTTCAGCTTTCAGCCTCCCGAAGATAGACACAAGAATTGGAAAAACACAACTCAGATACTGTGATCACCTCTGCCAGAAAAGCAGCTTAACCCGTAAGTCCCCTTAGCCCAGGGAACAGTCCTTTTCCTGTCATTCTGGCTGCTAAAGAGAAGGCTTGGGAGGAAGGCATTCCTGAAGATTTTTACAGACGGGAGTTTGTCCTCACCTGCCACCACAATGCTCCATATCTGCACCTGGGGCAACCTTGACCCTGAAGGCATGGTGGGTGTGGGCAGGCCTAGAAGGACTAGGCGAGGGCCAGCAGCAGTGCTCAGTCCATGCTGCTGCTCACTGTGGCAGGCAGGCAGGCAGGGCATGTTCTGTGTGGGTGGCGGTGCTGTGTGGCAGGCTGCCAGCTGCCTGGGAATAGGGCCACGACCAAGAACAAGTTCCCCTAAGTGGCTCCTTTGCCCAGGTGCTCTTCGTATTGAGAGAGAGGGACAGTGGGGAACTTACAGTTGCTTCACACTTGGGCTGGACAGTTCTCTCTCCATCTAAATTGATTTCTCTCTGAACACAACAGGAGGGGAAGGATCCAGGAGAGGACCTCAGGTCACAGCACTCAAGAGGCCAGGCTAGCAAGGCCATCCCGCTCCACAGCCACTCTCCCTGCTCCTGGCCTTGTGAGGCAGTAGAAGAATATCAGAGAGAGACAAAAAGGCCTGGGAGGGCTGCGGCTCCATTTCCAGAGAAGAAATTTAATTTCCTTAAGGCAACCAAATGGTAGGAAGTAATTCTTGAAATGACTCTACCAAGCCCTGGTTCTGCGAATCAGGGTCAGAACAGATTCAGCAATGCAAGACTCGGGGGCGTGGGCTTTGTTCACTTCTTTCTGAGGTAATTCTTCCCTTTACTTCTATTAGGAATCAGTGTAGGTACTATTTACATATTTTCTGTTATAATCACAGACCTGCAAACTAGTAATTCACCATCTTTCCACCCAAACTAACCATGTAAGATGACAAAAGGCCATTTAAAAAAATGAAAGTTCTAGAAGAGATGAAGTTAGCTGCTCGAAGTTAAATATTACTCATTCTTAGAAAATAAATAGTAATTATGATTTTTTTTTTTTCACAGGGTTTTGCTCTTCTTGCCCAGGCTGGAGTGCAATGGTGCGATCTCGGCTCACTGCAACCTCCACCTCGCGGGTTCAAGCGATTCTCCTGCCTCAGCCTCCTGAGTAGCTGGGACTACAGACATGTACCACCATGCCCGGCTAATTTTGTATTTTTAGTAGAGACGGGGTTTCTCCATGTTGGTCAGGCTGGTCTCGAACTCCCAACCTCAGGTGATCTGCTCCCCTTGTCCTCCCAAAGTGCTGGGATTACAGGCGTGTGCCACCGCGCCTGGAATAATTTTGTTTTTGAACACAGTCGATCAGTTGTGCGCTGCTTTGTCTGAGTGATCTGTGAGTGAGCTCCCCAGTAAAGAGGCAGATTTGGGGAGAGAACGGGAACACAAGATAACATCCACTCCTACAGGCTTTCTCCTAAATCAGATTTTCTCTGTGGAATTGGCTTTAGATTACAATGGGAAAGAATCCTTGTTTAATTTATTTTAGGCTCAGTATTCAGCTGAGGAAAAATCTGAAGAAATCCTGAGAAATGGAGAACACAAGGAATGAGAATTCCATTCTGGGCTCTGGTGTACTTTTATTTATTTTGTATCTTATTCACTTTTTTGGCTTCAATTTCCCAATCTGAAAAATGAGACAATTTTCACCCACTTTGTGAAAAAGAATTTCGGTAGTTTGGTTCTAGGCATTGCTAAAAGAGCTGGAATCATTGTGAACCCCAAAGGAACCGGGTTGGTAGTATGTCCCGTTATATCCAGGCTGACCCGTTTTGTCGCAGAGACAGCTGCCCGTGTCGGATATCCCTGAGAGACAGGACTATACTTCTGTTTCTTTCCTATTTCCACATGTGGGACGGAGCCACAGAGAATGCTGGATACCAAACATGGCCATCTGCTTTTTCTAATGACTAAGACGGAAAGATAATGATGCAACGAAGTAAATGCGTACTCATCTGCTCCTCATATTAGCTAGGCAGAGGTGTGATCTCCACTTTATGGTTGGAAAAAACTGATGTTCGGAGAAGTTAAATAATTTACAAGACTCGCAGTTAGTTATTCTTCTTCCAAGTCCACTGCTCATGTCCCCAAGCTGCCCTAGGCCAGAGCCTGCTTCACATTTAGCAGACTAAGGGTCCTTCTTCAAGTGCCATCTTGGTCAAGGTTAAATAAATATGGTTTTCTCCAATGCAGATAGGAAATTGATAATGAGATGATTTGTAACAAATGATTAAACGGCTATCACTTGGGAGTCTCCTCCCTCTCCCCTTCATGTGCTTCAAAAGTTAAAAGGTGCTGGTTGAAGGTGGGAGCGACATCACTTTCCCTGAAGAGAAAGAAGCTTCATCCCCACACCCCTAACCATCCAGTCCTTCTGCAAATGGAGAGAGGATCCCTCTCCCTACCACCCAGTTACTCTGAAGGGATAACAGCCATTGGGGGGTTAAAAAGAGGCAGTGAACCCCTAGTTAATGAGTAGGAATTCAGCAGGCAGTGTAAGATAAATGGAGCTCTCTCTGCTTCTGCTAGAGTCAGCATGAACTGCGGCCCTGCGGCTTGTTTGTGGCAAATGGAGTGCGCGAAATATCAAAGGGCAGTGATCCAGAAGAAGACCGACTTTGACAAATTTTAAATTGGCCAGAAAGAAAACCAGCAAAAAGAAAAAAAAAAAAAGAAAGAAAAGGAAAAAAAAAAAAAAAAAAAAAAGGAAAAGAAAAAGGAAGAAAAAAAAGGAAAAAAAGAAAAAGGAAAATGATGCAATTTGCTGTAGGCTGCAATTGCGGCATTGCTGCCTTTGTATGGAATTAGTGGTAAACACAATCGAGGGATGCTGGCAGCAATTATGAGCCATCTAAGTGAGATGCTTATCAGTGGCTGAAGCTTTTAGAGCTCTTTCTATGTACAGTTGTAAGTAACTTGCTGTTGAGCTGCAGTTACTTTAATTAAAGTGTATGGGGTTGGTCAGAAGTAATTATCCTGTTTGGAAAAGAAAGAAAAAAACCACCTCAACAATTCTGGGTGGCAATAGATTTTAGAAACAACTCTCATTTCTTGTATGTGTGCATTCCCCATAAAAGGATCAGACTGTGGTGAGTTAGACTTATTGGTGGCTGTTACCCAGTGGCAAACAATGGGACACAAACAGGGTTTATTGTAACCCAAGTCACCGTGTTTGGCAGGCAACCTGGCTCAGTGCTCCAAATACCTGGATGTACAGTCTCCACAGTGTAGGCAAATGGGATTTTTCTGTCTCTGGATGGTGGGGATATACAGTCCACAAATGGTACTTTATTAATTAAATTATTTGGAACATAAATGAGCTAGCATTTCTTCTCCATTCACTGAGTTTCACTACGTTTTAAAGGCAATCTCTGTTCCTTTAGAAAAAAAACAAAAACAAGACAAACCAACCGACAAAAGAACCTCGAGCAATTATCTTTACTAACATAGCAAGCAGCTCAATGGGAGACCTGGGCAGAAAATCAGTGTTTTAAAAGAATCTGAAACTCATTTACACTCTGGACTCAACACAGGACTCCCATGGTTTAGTCCTATGTTCAAATCGCAAGTGGCTTCCAAAAGCTCTGAAAACAAATGAGCAAGAGAGTAATGGCTGGAAGCATTAAGCACGCCTGCTCTCAGGGCTATTCTGGCTGCAGTTACTGTTTGGAAGCACACAGTGCGCAATCTTTACTTCTATTTCTCTAGCTCAGGATGACCCCTGGACACCGCCTGGGTAAAGACTCCTGCTTTTCTATCCCATCTCTCAGAAATGAAGTGAGCTGTCCAAAGAAACAAGTAGAAACAGGACATATTTAGATCTAGCATATTCTCTGTCTGGTGAGGCCTGCCCCCAGCAGCAACTCTAGCTACTCATTCTCTATAAGGACATCTTAGAAAGACGGGCTTTTTGCACTCTAAGGAAATATCAGGAAAAAAAATCAGGTGACTTTTGCATTTTTAGGGCTCACTTTCCCTATTATACACACTATTTCATTCTACCAGGGTTTTTACCATATAGCGGACAGTAAATAAAGATTATCATGAATTTGATCAAATGCTTCAGTGCCTCCTCCCCTGGCCTATGAATGCACTCATTACAAATCAGCTGAATGGCTCATTGATTTGTCAGGAGGACAAGCAGACATACCCAATCGCTCTGCCAAGTGGATGTAGACTGGGTCCACCCGACGCATGGTTTTCACCAGATCCTTTCTGCGGAATTTGATTTCTACTGTCCCTTCTGGCTCCAGAACAGATCCCCTGGATCAGAAAGAAAGAAAACAAAACAGAAATAGAGGTACTTTAAAGGAAGGAGACAACAAAATGACGCCAGTTACAATTTGTGGACCAAGAAATAGCTTCATTATGGTTTTGCCCACCTATGGTTAACAGACATCTCCCCAGGGAGAATAGTAGGCGCCAGAGAAGTGTCTAAGTGAGGTATGAGAAAGGCCTGGCAAAAAGTATTTAAAGTAATTCTCATTACCACACTAGTCAATTTCCATTTCAAAGGGAGAAGAATACAGATTCCACCACCTACAGCTGGTAAGAGTAACAGGAATCACATTATTTTCCATGGGAAAAAAAAATGCTGTAGGCACAGTGACAGGGGAATCACCTCCATCACGTAGGATATACAGTGATGAAGGGCAATGCTTCATCAATACTATCTATCTATCTATCTCACCAATACCACAGCTGTCAGTCTGCTTGTAGGACACTGATCAGACACACTAAGCCAGGCCAAGTAGGAGGTAAAACATTCTGCCCAGTGATATGGAAATGAGCAGAGTCAAAGGTCTCAGGGTTACTTTTAGTGCATACTAATGATGTTCAATCCCCAGAAACTTTGCCCTAAACATCTTTTTTAAAAAAACCCCACAGCTCTCTAGTTTAAAAATATATAGCTAATGTTTACTATGTACATGGCACTGTTCTAATCACTTACATATAAATCCTTACAACAATCCTATGCCCAGTCTCCATCTACTATGTAGTAAGGTTCTGTGATTATTCCCGTTTTACAGATGAGAAAACTACGGTTTAGGAAGTTATGAGACTCGTCCAAATATAACAAGAGGCAGAAATGGATTTGAAACCAGACAGTCTGATTCCAAAGTCTGTAGAGGAATTGTCTCTGATCTGGTATCAGATGAGTTTAGGACTTAAAAAATAATAAACCCCTAAGTACAGAATGTAAATAATAAGCCTCTTAGCCTAGAGGTTTCACAGTGAAACTACTGGACTCTCCTAAGCAGCCTTTGACAAAGAAGGCTGAATTTGGGGGGACAAGAGAGAAGTGGGCGGTCCACTAAAATGACTGGAGGTAGGAGTTTGCTAGGAAAATGTCAAATAAATATGTTCTGAAGTTTACTTAGGAAAGCTAAGAACAGACTGTGAAAGGATGCCAGATTAGATCTGTTTTATTTAAGCAGTTTCAGGTACTGCCTCCCAACAAGCCTGAGGTTCTCCCTTGCAGTTTTTTTGGGTGCTACAAACACCATGGTCTTCAGCTTCCTAAAATGCGAGAGTGAGGGCCTGGACTCTAATGGAAGGAAAAAGCTTTGGTTTGGAATCACAGGATGTGGTGCTGTAGTGCCATGGCTACACCATTCTCCAGGAGGAAACCAACAGCTACAGTGTCCCTAAAGCTACAGTGAATGGAAATACGGAAGGCACGCTACCTGCTTTCTCGG